TCGAAGATAAATTGCCAAATAGACCGTACTCACCAAAGGTTAAAATACTGTCGGATATAAATTTGACTGATTGGGCAAAAAAATTTTACATTAATAAGGAAAAACTTGCTAAAAAAACAAATTAGTAATAATTATCAAACAGACTAAAAAGTTTATTATGGGTAAGAGTAGTAATAAAAATTACACAAAAGAAAATAAAGACAAAATATATGAAAAGCAGAAGAAATTACGAGTAATTGACTTTTGGAATTATGACACCGACAAAGAAGATACAAATCTGTGAAATGATTTTAAGATTTGTAAAGAGAGACTTTTCTTATTCTTGATCTCGGATTACCAAAAATTAGTAATTAATATAAATGTTTAGATAAATTAGATTTTGATTGTATTAATAAAGATTTTTTTTTAAGGAAGGCATGGAGAAATGGCCCATATTATGTTATGATCATTATATCTATAGCAATTAGATTCTTGAATCATAAATATTAAAAATGCATCTTTCTATAACAACATTTTGTGTCATTCCAGTCATTTTGTGTTATTTCCCACAGCTAACGACTCAAAATCATTCCCCTCCCCAACATTCTCATTACTATCTCATTCCAATTTTTGATATGCTAATAATTTCATTGTTTTTCACAAAAATAAGGTAGAAACAATAAAAGGTTGAAGAATTCAGTATGTAGTAATGAATTAAGAAAAAAAATTTAAGTTTTTTGACAATAATTTGAAATTTAGAATTTTCACTGAATTTGCACGAAATAGGCGAAACACCCTAAAATGATTTCTTAATCCCTGGGAAACTGTACTTTGTGTATTATTCTGTAAACCAGGTTACCAGATCTGTATTAGAAAAAATCCTAAAAAAAAAAACAAACAAAATACCACTTTTAATATTAGTAAGGATTACTTAGAATAGAAAATAAATTATTTTTCTATTGCGTTATCTAGTATCGCCTAGTAGCAACTTGTCAGAACCTAACGTGTACTTTCGGTGCTACTGCGCAACGCCGGGCGTCCGTGACTGCGCATGCGTGCGTTGCTCCCCTCTCACCGAGTGCCTTTGGAACTTACGAAACATACCTCGAATTAAGCTTAGGTATTGAACATGTAGTTTTAATAAAAACTGGAATTTTAAATTATTAAAATTTATGTAAGTACCTTAATACACTGCCGTCTGTATTCGGTTTTTTCTCGTTTTTTCATACTTCCACATCATAGTTAGCAACCCAAACATTTAAAAAATGTAATTAACGTCTCAAAATAAACCCTTATCATTTTGTTACTTGTTGTTTAAATCATTAATAAATTTATTTTTGTTACCAAATATTGACGTTATTTTTATAGCTGAAAACGATGACACAAAAAAAAACCGGTCAGGTACGAGTCGAACTCGTGCGCCGAGGGTTCCGTACCTACCCAGATTTTACGTGGATTTTCGCGAAAATTTGTAAGTACCAAAATTTATCTTAATTTTTAACTTTTTTTATTTATTGGAATTATTCCTTTATTTGTGCTGTAAGACGATTCTTTTTGATAAATTTCGTGATTCTAGGTCAACGGGAACTACCATATAGGTTTTCGACCCAAAACCTATAGGGTACTTCCGGTTGACCTAGAATTGTGAATTTTGGTTAAAAGCAAGGTCTTACAGCACAAGTAAAGAGAAAATTCTGAAAAATAAAAAAAGTTGAAAATTAAGGTAAATTTTGGTACTTACAACTTTTCGCGAAAATCGAAATTTGCCCATATCTTTCTATCGTGTATAGGGACCATAGATGTGTATCGTGTATATATCTATAGGGACCATAGACCATAGACCATAGTATTTGCTATAAATTTCAACTTGCTAGGTCTACCCGTTCCTGAGAAAATTAAAAAAAAAAAAAAATTAGAAAATCGGTGGTGACACACGGACAGACGGACAAGAAAGTGATCTTATAAGGGTTCCTTTTTTACCTTTTGAGGTACGGAACCCTAAAAAAGATAAAAAAGAAGGAATATTAATATCTTCCTGCAGTGGACAGCATAGAAGTTTAAATTTTAAACAAACAAACAATTGCCGACCGGTTGTTTTGATTCCACTCACGAGAGAGGAGGCATTTTTGGAATCAAGGATGAGATAATTGGGAGTATACCGGAAAGGAAAGGTGTGTAACAATGAAAGACTTTGGAAGGAAAAGAATATTGCTTTACGGGTTGGGCAGTGTAGTTTGATTAGGTCTGAAACGCATACCTGGTCGGGGAAGTTCGAGTACTTTTACACACACTGATGTCTTAGTAATAACTTATTTTGAACTTAATATCTTTAAAAAAAAAGACAACGCCCGCACTAAGAATCCCTTGTCGCAGGGGAATTTACATACATAATAAAACGGACGCAAAAAACACCCAGACTCAGAACAACAATTTGTAGAACCCACAAAGTGTTGTCCCATGTGTGTTTAATGTAGGGATCAAACCGACAACACTCAGCGTAGTAGGAAGCAGTGAGGTGACCACTTAAACCTCTACGCCATCCGTGCAATCAATATAGAAGATTATTGACAATTACAAAATAATTTACTTTTATTTCCTTTATGCATATTTCATCAACATAATTTACTTCGGGATTTAACGCGGTTGGTAGGTATTACATACATTGGAACTGCCTGACGTTTCCAGGCTCTCCACTGGCTGTGGGCACAGGACGCCCGTGACCACATGTAATAATAATATAACGTGTTTGTAATAATGACATATCATGGAACGCGAGGGTTGAAAATGTTGTATATTTTATTATTATTTGAATTCTTCTTCTTCTTCAGTAATGACAGCTTTAGTACCAATGGTTTAAATATTAATAAAAAAATGTCTAACTATTTTTTCACATCTTTTTTTTATTCTTATAATTTAAATAATATATAACGCCTTACCTAAGAGTATATTATATAATATTTTCTTTTATTACACCTAACGATACCAAATTTTATCATATTATCCCGGGCCATGCTTGCGCTACAGGGGTCATCAAATGATGGACCGTGGTCCAGAACCGGACCTCCGACCTATATTGTGTGGACATAAGAAAAATACATCCAATACATACATATGTATGTATGTATTGGTTATGTTTATATATATATATATATATATATATATATATATATATATATACATACATATATACTCACAAAAGTAAGGCAGTTTCAAAAAACTCATGACAAGTTATAAGTTTTGGATAAAATTTATTTTAATTTTACTGTATCACCATTTCTCATGAAGTCGGCTCTTAATACTCAATAAATACTCAATCCAATAAAAAATAATCTGAATGAATGTTCAATAGGTTCAATATGTTTTTATAGTTATGTATATAGAGAGTTTTAAAAAACTAAAAAACACGCTTTCTATGGAAAACCAAACTAAAAAATAGAAAATAAATTTGAAAAAAAGCGTTGGGTGCCTGTTGTCAATAGTAAAAGCACCCCACGCTTTTTTAACCGTTTAAAGTCACTCAAAATCACGCCCAAAGGAGTCTGTTACAAACAAACATACAAGTGAAGCTAATATAAAGCGTGTACAAACAAAACTAAACATTGTTTGTATAAAACAAAGACTGCATTATCATTAAAGTCTTCTGACTATTTTAAATCGTGTTCTTTTGTAAATCTTCCAACAGATATCTGACTGAGAAAAATCTTAAGAAACTTTATTTATAACTTTATTTAATTATATAATAATATTATGTTTATGAATATTTTTTAATATTCACGTGATAATGTGTTACGTGTACGTATACTACCCTAAACTGTTAAATACCTAAAATCCGTGTTAAGGTTGTCTGGAAGAGATCGCTGTGAGCGATAAAACCGCCGATTGTTAAGTCTACTTGTTTGTAACTCATATTTCGTTATTTTCTATTAAAGTGTATACAATAAAGATATAAATAAATACAAATAAATAAAAATAAATAAATAAATAAAGAGAACCATAATATGCATCTATGTGACAGTCTTATACTTTAAAGTCGCATGACGTAGGTTGCCATATACAGTGATACCGCGTAGGTCACATTAAGGTCAAAATAATTAAAGTAGAACTTTCACACGAGCCTTTGTACAAAACATAATATATAACGCATACGCCTCAAATTGAACTTTCGGTGTAACCTCAATAACACCGGTTAACTAAATAATGGTAACAGTCACATGTAACCGGTTACATAAAGGAATCGAGACTTATATGTCGTAATGTGTGTGGAACAGTGTCATGGTCGGCCATTGAATCTCGCTCTTATTAATGTCAGTATAGCGTGACGTAAATGATAGCAAAGAAAAGAAATAAGAATAAATTTGCATTAATATATTAAATGTATTGGTCTATTATAATAAGCTAAATAAAGTCAATGAGTGCATTGGCTCATACGTAAAAGTGTAATCTACCATTATCATTGTTGTCTTCATTTGAAAAATACTTTCCAGACATATATTTTTGGTAAAAAAATGTACCTTGATCTAGGTAAAAATGTTATTTATATTACATAAGAACATGTTCTATGATAAAATAAACTTCTTTTTGGGGATAGAAAATGGACTGTCGTAATGTCCTTTCTAAGGAGAGGCTTAAGTCCAGCAGTGGACTATTTAAGGCTGTTGATGAAATAGAATATTATTTTAAGAAGTGTGTATTACACAAAAATTCGTTCAAGATTTTTTCATACCTATTTTATATAGAATTTTTATAGGCCAAAATGCTTAGTTTCCGCTAACTGAGTAAAATTTTATTGTAAAATCATAGGTCCTCAAAAGAAAAGCAACGCTGAATGTGCTTAAACCAAGCTGGATGAGGATCCTGATTATCGAAAACTTGTTCTAGGTCTATCGTAATGTCAAAACGAAACAATTAATTTTAGCGCGATGATATTGTGATAATAGATCAACCACGAACAACGACCAAAAATTGTTTTATTTTACTTAATAGCTCACAATGTTATCACACAATATTTTATATTGTTCCAGCAATACGACCCTTATTCAGCCATCCCATACGAGCAGGCAATCGTCCGTCCAAAGCCCCTCCGTGAACACGAGAAACCGCAAAACCTCCGCAACGTCCCTGGCTCACCGGGAATCGACTTCCCGATATACCACAAAGTGCCGGAGACGGGCTTTTCTTGCCACCACGTGCCTGTAACACCTGGAATGTATGCCAATGTTGAGACTGGATGCCAGGTAACTAAATTAACTAAAATAATTGTCTACGCATACAATTTAATAATAAATAGATAATTCTTCAAAGTATGACCGACTTCATTGCGCACACGTAATGTAGTGAATCGTAATAAAGTGTCTTATTATTTACTTAATTTTACGCTCTTGAATTCATTAGTCTTGAAATTTGAATGGGAATTCAAATTTCGAACAAAAACACAGAATATTTTTCTAACTCGGTTCATAAATTATCAAGTTTTGAGGTAACAAACATAAATACAACCGATTTGAACCGTAAAAGGAAGAGGTTCCTTTTGATGAAGTTAGTTGAACAGTTGAAGTTTTTTTTACCTGATGATTAAAGAAGGTGTTTTAGGTTAGGTTAGGTTGATTGTGATTTTAATGGTGATTTTAATTCAAATCAACTGAGTTGCAGTTATACAAACCTATATTGATCTCGTATTGTTGTTAAAAGCGATCAGCCAGAGACGATGTGGGATCTGCAGTAACATAAAACAGGGTTTTCTTGAATCCTAAACTTTATTAACACAGAAAGAAGTTCATAATTACTAATAAAGCATATTGCATCCACGTTTCGCTCATAAAATACAAACACAGCATAGTTTTAATTTTCATATTTTATGTACCGAGGAAAGTTTAACGCGCACGAAGCGGCATTTTTAAAATTCGCAACACATTTGCGACATCATATATTTAGTAAAACCATTCAACATTTTGTAGTGATTATAAAACACGTAATATACAATCTCGTTTTCAAGCGCCTTATATCAGGGAAGGATTTAAGCGCTCTTTGCTTTATGGGATGCTTTTTGACTATTGCGTTCTTAATTTGAACTACGAAAACGATATGATCTTGGAAATCTTTGACGAAACAGTTGTACTAAGAAAGGTAAGGTTCATATATTTAAGAACACATAAATAATCATACTTATACACGTTATTATAAAAACATTATATTATCTGTGTTTATAGTAAAGGGGGATCACCTGAATTGAGCCCCCCTCTCTTCTCCTTCCGCCTCTCAAGAGTAACAAGAATAATAATCTTTATTGTAACAATAAGTGGATTACAAACATTGTACAGCCCTGATTCCCAAACGAGGGTAGTAACAAAGAGTTAGAATAGTAGACACAATTTAGTAAAGTATGTTTAGTTAGATAAGTTTGTGAGTGGGTGTGTGTATGTATATGAGTGCGTATGTGTGAGGCGGGTTGTGAGAGTGTGTGTGACATTATTCAAGTTTTCATCATTTCACTATTTGTAGTAGGCTTTAAACATCATAAATGCTAATCATTATTATTCCGTTGTGAAGATACCCATCAAGCAATTCATCAAAATCAAACGACCCGCAAACAATCTTAAAGACCTATCATAAAACTATTGATAATATCTACGTAGATTGCGTGTCGAGAGCTTAACCCTAGCACCGACTAATCCCATTAATATAGGACATCGCATAAATCAGTCTAACTATTATCCGGGCGGCTTCAGTGCTTCAATCTCCACAAAACCCCATCTATCATTACATCCTCCGTCAAATTAAAGTGAGATAGATTCGTTGTCTCAGCGATAATTGACTTGAACAAAATCTGTAATAAATGTACTAGAGTATATCTACTAAAATAGAAAAATATGACACTCTGAATTTAGAAAACTTTATTTATAAACCATTTTTAGAAAAGTAGTATCATAGGTACATGAAAACGTCAGATATCGTAATGTACAAAGGGCGGCCTTATTGCTCAGAGCAACCTCTTCCAAGCAACCTTAGGTTGCATTAAAATGTTTCGAAGAGACATTAGAAGTTGTTAAAATTATTAGATAAAAGATTAAACAAGCAGACCACTTGATGGTCACCTGATGTTAAATATGTATTTACGTAAGTACATATATATAATGTGTATAGGTTCTAGTGTATGATAGGTTTATGTAGGCGTATTTGTATAACTACTAACAAACTTTAACCAAAATGCACCTACTTCCTGTTCTCTCTGCATCACCCAAAGGTTGACTGGTATTGAATGCCTTAGGCATTAAGTCCGCTTTTGGTGCATTATCAAAAGTTCATGATGTATAAATAAATAAATAACTAGCACCATCGTTTAAGTTCCCAAACCCTGGAATCGAGATGGGGGAGGGTAGTTGTAAAGTATCAAAATACTATAAGCTTAATTTAACGACCTCAATGGTGTCATATCTGTTTATGGCAACCATAAATAAATTATTGTGCTTGTTAAGGTGTCAACATTGTAAATGAGAATAATTCATGGTCGAGTGCGCTAACGTGTCTAATCTCTCCGTCAAGGCAAATAAAAACACCTACAATCCTATAACAAAGGAATTTCATTTACAAGCGACCCAAAAGGCAGTCCTTACCCGCAACATAGGTCTTATCAAGCCAGGAAGAAAAACCAGTGACGGGACTTCGCACATGGTATGCTTAACATTATTTGTCTATGTGTAATTGTCGCTGCTCTGCTCAATAGACAACTAAATTCATTCTATATAAAACCGCCAACCAACGTATTACGTATTTCATTAAGGGCAAATCAAATGCAAAATCCAAACCGTACTATTCTAGCAGACCGTAATATGTTTGTTATATTGTATTCAGAGAATCGGTCATTAACGAAAAAGGTAACTCTTGATTTTACAGAAATCACAGGGGCATATATGGATTTACCGTGCTTCGGTAAATATGGACAGCCTCGACCGAAGGCGGGGACCTCCATTATGATTGAACTTGAGTTTTAGTTGTAACCATAATAATCCTCTTATATCATAAAAAATAAACATTTGCCTTAAAAATTGTCAGAGGACCGTTTTTACACCAGAAAAAATAAATAAAAATGTATGATTACATGCGTATAGATAAACAGAAGATAATTATTTAAATACTTACTTCATATAAGCTAATTTAAATTGAAATTTTTGCACATAACTTATATACTTAGGGACCACCAGTATGTGAGGACCCAAAAAGTGGTTTACAATGCAAACTTACTGACGAATATGTGTTTACACCGAGTTGTTTACACTAAAATCTTGTGCTCGGCCCTTTATAACGTTGCGTACATTGTGTTTATTTAAACATTTACCATAATATTTAGGAGGTTAAACCCGTATTTCGTTAACATAATAAAGTTAAATTACGTATCTTATTAAGTTACAATTCAACTGGTTTACAACAACGAGTAATTTTGCAAGTATTAAAAGCGCTAAAAATTCATAAGTTTTAATCTTGCAATATCAACTTTATCTTTTGCGAATAACGCCTTATAGCTGTAAAGTCCGACATGTACATATATCTGATCCGATCTGATTAAGAACTGTTGATTTTTGACTGTCTTTAAAATCTGTATGTCTAAATTCTATGTAAAGTACGCTTACAATGCTTACAAGCACTTAGCTATCAAAATTTCCTGTATTTTATAAATAAATAAAAAAAAAAACACAGTTAGATTTTTAACCGACTTCTAAAACACAAAAGAGGAGGTTCTCAATTCGACTGCATTTTTTTTGTAACATAATTTTTCTTAATAATGTTTCTATTTATTTGGTTAAACGAACGATAGCTTATGTAAGCATACTCGTAGATCTTTTTTCATACCTGTGTAATATTCTAATTGATAAGGCAAAAATCATCTATTTTCATTGTCTTTTAATTCGTAAAGAAAAATTCAACCATATTTGTTATTTTTAAGTATATTAAACGTTGACACTGACTATAGAAAATTAATCAATACCTCGGTTTTTGTAATTTATTTATACTTACTGGTATTATTGAGCTTAAGAGTTTATTTGTCTGGTTAAACGCGCTTAGCTCAGTAACTAATCTATTCAAATCTGTTCAGATAGTTTAATATGATACATAAAACATACAGAGAAACAAAGAAGTACTTAGTATGAAAGTATTTGTTTTGATGTTTAAAACAACTCTTTGTAAAACAACTGTATAGACAGTAGTGGGTATAAGCGTGTATTTATGAATAATTTTCGTGACACGTACTGTAACAACATCATATCAGTGTCCAGAACTAAGTTAACCAACAGAGTAGATTGCATTGGCTCACGAATTGATATGGTTCAATATCGTACCAACTTTTCTCATCTAGAGCATGTGCTGTCATCCGATTTATGATGCAAGATACGGTACCAATCGCTTCTGCAATCTGTGCCCGCTCTCTATCTATGGTGCGAATATCTGTTGATATATTGCATATGTCACTAGTTCCAAGTCTGAGCGCTTTTATAAAATGATTAATCTTTACTTGTTGATTGTGATTTAATGTGAGATGTAGATAACTGGCATTATATAGGGTCTGGTATTAAAATGGTTTTTGGTTTTTTGTTCTTTTTTTTAAAGACAACTCTCGCATTAGGAATATATCCTGTGTCTCGGGGGATTTTTACAAAAATACATGAAACGGATACGAAGAACACCCAGACTCTTCTGAGTCTGAGTCTGGGTGTTGTTCTCAACAATTTTTGGATCACACAAAGTGTCATCCCATGTGGGGATCGAACCCACAACACTCAGCGTAAGGGGCGTGGCGGCCGCTTAAATCACTACGCCATCCGTGCAGACAATACTAATACGTGCAGGGATAAACGAGTAGACGGGTCACCTGATAGAAAGTGGAGCTGTCATGGACACATGAATGGGGGGAGGGGTATTTGGGCTCCGGTAAGCACACTCGTTCGTTGAAAAGCAGCAAAAGAATTGGTCAACACCTGTTTTCTGTGAGGACGCGGTATCACTGTGTGCGAGATGGCCCATATATGTCGAAGTATGGCTTTGCCATGAAAAAAATCCATATCGTAAACTGCTGTATTCTGTTTACGTTAATTTAGAAGCTTGATTTTTTTATAGCTTTAAGGGACTAAAGACCTGAGTATATCGTTTTAATTTCAACTCGATACCTCTACGCGTTATAGATATAAAGGATCTTGGCAGATAGAAGGACAACAAAGTGATCCTATAAGTGTTCCGTTTTTTCCTCCGTTACGGAACCCTAAAAATTGAGGGTAACTTCACTGAAAGGGCGGCAACTCCTACCATCGTGTCTCTTTAGCATCGCATGTGTTCGTGGGCAGTGGTGGCCAATTACCATCAGATAACCCGTATGCCCATTTATACCATAAAAAATAAGTATGAACGGTCTAACCCTTTCTATTTAGTGTGTCAAAACAAAAATACGTTCTACTAATATAAGACATTTAATCTCTGATATCTTTCAAAAATTAACATTATTATAAATGAATCTCAGTAATTTATTAAGGTTGGCCAATTTTACTTAATTGGAAAACTTTTAAGACATTATTAATAGTTATTACCCCTTTCCGAAAGCGAATGTTCGAAATACAAACTTGGTTCAATCTCTTTACTGTTGCCCTAAATCTGGGGCACGGAGAAAAATGTATATCTCTTCAATATTAATAACAGTTTAAATATATAACTTTTAACCTTAAACTTTGTCCGTGTGGTGACGGATTAAGAATACGGAGTGTCACCACCCATGTTCATCCCGTAGATGATGTAAAAGTCGATTAAGGGAGCAGGACAACAGCACTGCAAAAAGAAGGATAACTTAACTCAATTCCTATACCAACCCTTGCCATAACATCATTTATAAGGAGAGGCTTATGTCCAGCAGTGGACTATTAAAGACTATTGATGATGATGAACACCAAAATTTTCATTCACGAAATATGATTGTGATATAAGACAATGATAGTAATCGTCTTGGCTAACTCGTCTAAAAATACAATTCACAATATGGTGGATAGGGAGAAGCTAATCAATGAATTTAAATTAAATATTTTAGACGTGGGGTTGGTACAAACAATTTTTCCACAACCAAAATCAGAAGCGGCAAAAAGACTAAGTCAATTAGTTTACTTCATTGATTAGTATTTCTCTTTCTCTTATTAGTTTTAAGAATGTGTTGAAGGTAGATAGCATAAGGGACGATGAGGTTGACGTATCTATGTGGATAAAAACCCCAATACAAAAATAAATAAAAAAAGAAGGAAAAAAAAAAAGAAAATGGTGGATAAATGATTACTATTTACTTAGACGTCCTAAAATTTTAGATAATTTGTTCAACGTCTGTAAAAGTCGATTCTAGACCCGACCGTGGTTTAAATTAAATCCACAAGAAGTACGATATCTTTGAACAGTCAACGAAGAAAAAAACATCCTTATTTGAGGGAGTCATTACCCAGCTGGTAAAACGTTATTTTAGGAACACGCGGCTTTCAGCCATTTTCTTTGTAAGAATCAATTAGTAACTTTTGCAGGGAAATATATCCCACAAAACTATCGTCGCCCTAATGATTTCACAATTATGTATATATATATCTTAGGTATTTCATATATATACATATATATACATAAAACTATGATATATATATTACTAGCTGACCCGGCAAAGTCAGTCAATATTGCAAAATAAAAAAAAAATAGGGATGGGTCACCCTTACCATTTAGGGGTATGAAAAATAGATGTTGGCCGATTCTCAGACCTACCCGATGTGCACACAAAATTTCATAAAAATCGGTCTAGCCGTTTCGGGGGAGTACGGTAACTAACATTGTGACACGAGAATTTTATAAATAAGATATAGCGACAGAATGGTTTATCGCAAGGCCGTATGGTTCCCCCGCAGTGATCCGGGAACTGCTGTTATTAAGACATCCGGACCCCTCCTACCACGTGGAGGTTTTCTAGCCTAGCACCCCTCTGTAGCATATACCCTATTGTAGCCATAATATGACAATTAACGATACAGTTTCAATTAAAACCGATGTGGATGACATTTGGTACAGAGATAAATTAAAGTCAACATTATTAGCAACTATGAAATCAACATTTAAGTAAATGAAGCCACAACCAAAAGACATGAATAATGAGCCCTATGTGTGTATAGACTGCAATAAGAACCCGAAATATAATTAAAGTTTTATGTAACATATAAACAAGGTAAAGTATTCATTATCATTATTTTAAGTTGTGATCTTTCATTTCCAGGCTTATCACGTGTGTCATGATGGCCGCGAAGGAGATCAAGGAGCTTCATTTCTATGTACAAACGGCACCTTATTCGACCAGGAGAAGTTCACGTGCGACTGGTGGTACAATGTAGACTGCTCGAGAGCCATCGACCTGTACAAGTAAGTATTAGAAAAAACCTGACAATCGCGTGTTGTATGTAGGTACTTCGTCCATCAATTATGGAAGAATTTGTCTGTTTTCTCTGAAGTGACAGACGTAACTTTGCCGTTCTTAAAATACTCTCTCATACGTCAAAATCGATACAGTCAATTAATCGCACCTTTAAAAAAAAACTGGAAATATTTTTAAACGCGGAAACCTTTTTACTATGATATAATTGCAAACTAAATGCGTAATGTCTTTTGATTGCGTTGCGAGAAGCTTCATTTTTTACAGACAACATTTTCTTTCATTTTTAACATAATCAAACTCATAACAGTTACATTAGTGACGCGATCTTAAACACTTACTCTTGTCGGTTAGAATTGTTTTTATAAAAAGACAGCTCCCGCACTTCTGATTCGCTGCCTCGGTGATGCAGTGGCAGCGTACGCGATTGCTGTGCTCAGGTCTCAGTTTTGTTTCCTGGGTCGGACTGACTAAAGTCTGTTTCTTTTTCTTAAGTATCAATCACAAAAATTTGGATATTTTATACACATACCTACATATCTCTAGTATGAAGTTAAAATTGCACTTTTATTAGTGTAAACCCTCTCCTAAAAATCCAACCAAGGCGTCGTCGATAAGACTCTAAAATATGGAAACACATTTATATAACAGTCCGTATATTAATATGTTCTAGACGTTTCTGGATGTATTAATTCTGAAAGCTACCTCATTCACAAAAGCTTAGACAACAGTTTAAATAACTCAAGCGTTATTTATGGGAAGATTTACTCTACGTGTTATCTAACACTCAGACTTCATACTAAAAACGTAATAATATTTGCTATTGTACAATGTGCAGTTTTAGAAGAAAAATTTAGAAAAGTTTATTTAAAATGTTAAGTGCTGGTAATTATTTTATAAATTAAATGTGAAGTGTCCAATATATTTTCAAGTATCGTTAAACCCATGTAAGAAACAAAAAAAAAGACATCTATAATGTTTTAAAGTATTATTTTTAAGTATTTTTATTGTTTTTACGAGTATTTACTAGTAGTATGACTTGGCAATCGCATACTTCACTATCTGTGTATGCATAAAGGCTCGCCAGCGCTTTGTTTAATTAGGACTTCCGAAAATAGTGAAGATTATTCTTTGTAATAAAGCCGGTTGATTGCCAAGTCATTGTACTTACTGACTAAATAAAAATGTCTGATTTTGTCACAGTCACTATGAAATATTGATAGTTAACATCGTATATAAAAATGAAATCACACAACTGTTGATTAACAGCTGAAAAAACATATTTACACACATACACTCACGTCTTTTATCCCTGAAGAAGAAAATATCTGTATTTTCTTACGTACTTACGTACTGAAACTCCAATATTTTGACAACCATCATTGCACTTCTCCGTGTGGTGACAGATTAAGAATACGAGTGTCCCCATTCATCCTGTGGGCAACATCTCTGCATAAAGAAGGAAAGCTTGACAGCCTTGTCCAGTGTGGTATAACAGGCCAAAACCTCTTTTCTAAGGAAAGGCCTATATCCAGCAGTGGACTATTAAAGGCTGTGGACGTGTGATGATGAAAAAACATACTTAAATGTTTCTAAATACATACATAATTATTATAAATAAATTACACTCAGACATAATGATCGTGCTCGTGATGAGATAATACCAGTCAGGTTCACCGCCTACTAAACCAACAGGCCTGCATAGATAAACTATATTTTTTTTACTTACACAGAATATATTTGTTTATACAACATACTGGTCGAGTTGTTCATATATAGCATACAATCTCACACACGGCAGTTTGATCCCAAACTAGGCAGAGTCTGTACTATGGTAACTAAACTACTGATAAACATACTTATATAAATTTTAAACACATACATATCATAGATAAATTACACCCAGACATATAAATAATGTGTATTAGTATCATTGTTACTTATTGTATATGTATCTTATTTATTAAAATACATTCTATAGTAATTTATATAAGTGCCCTTGGTATATTATATTCTATTTATGCTATATTTTTCATATTATCACATTTTTAATTTCTGTGCATCTACAATTTTTAGCTCCGCATCGCCCTAAGGTTGACTGGGAGAAATCGCCTACGGCATTAAGCCCGCCTTGTCACATTTATGCAAATAAAAAATATTATGCACATCACACAGTTATTTGTCCGGGGCCCGAATCGAACCTCCGGCGTAGCAGTCAGGGTCACTATCCACTAGACCAACAGGCTCTCTATGTTATGAGTTTTCTAGATAGGTATGTAATTAATGCGAAAATGTTTCACCAGGTTGAATGCAGATCCCCATCACAATCCGTTCCTGCCAAAACCGAAGCCTGAAGAAGAGGTGACCCACGACCAAGGAATCTATTACAGGGAGATTTAAATTTAGCACTTAAAATTTGCCATCGTGACACAAAATTTCACTTCATTCATTAATTTATTGATCCCATACTAATAAGAATTAAAAATAATTTATAAATATTTGACATCTAAAACTTAAAGCTAGGCAAAAAAAAAACCTAGACTTTTTTTATTCAACTGCTAAACTTACTATCATTCAAGATATCTTCATTTTAATTACCACTTTCTTAGATATAATGTGATTACAAATAGAAATGTAAGAAGCTTAATTACAAAATTTCACTATTTTGTTAAGGTATTGGTACAATGACTGTAAATAAATATAATTAATTATACCAGAACTAACCATTACACCCATTTCGATCACCCTTCATTCCAAATATTTGTTTTCTTAAATCATTTTAAACATGTTATATTCTTACCCATAATGTTAAATAAATTCGATATTATCAAAAATCATTCACATATCAAAAAATCATTCACAAATCATATTTAGTCCATATATAATCTCAAACTTAGGTGATCATTATACTTAAATACCATCAAAAGTATATATTTGACACGATTCTTCGTATAGAAAAAAAACTGTATATGATTTAAAAAAAAAGAATTTTGAAAATCGGTTCACAATTGACGAAGTAATCGATGAACATACATAAAAAAATAAAAAATAAAATACATACAGTGGAACATAGAACCTCCTCCTTTTTTGAAGTCGGTTAATAAAATAAATTAAATTGTTAATTCGCATGTTCCTTTTTTAATTTTCCTAATTCATTTCGCAAATATTCTCTCAATTAATTGAAGTTAATTCTACTAAAATATAATGTTCTTTAAAAAATTTTTTATATTCTAATATATTTGAGTTGCTATCAACCAGTAATATGTAAAGGGAATGAATAACATTAAGAGATGTACACAAACTAAATAAAAATATTTGAATGGCATTACAAATAAATGATTTTTAATTAAAAAATAAGAGGTCTGGCTAAAGGTTTGAAACTATATCTTATAGCTACTGTGCATGAGTTTAAATAGCTGTGGTCGTTTTACAAACTCTTAACTCATGCTGGACCCACAAATCATTATATACGCCATACTATTTACCATTAATAAAATAAAAGTACACATTCTAAAATATTTAATAAACATTTTTAAGATAAATTATTACATGCTATTTACTTACAGATATATCTGAAATATATAGTACAGTAACTTGAGCATATAAAATAAATAATTATTTACTAGAATTAACGCGATTAAAAGGGATCACATGCCCCTGAATTTCTCGACGTTTGGTCTAGTAGTGCACGCACTCTGTCGTCAAATTCGAGGTAAATAAAAGGTCCTGCATCAACCCACATATTATCTAAGTTTTTTCTAAATTCTGAAACAGAAATATTAATTATTTTTATTACAATAAAGTAAATACTATACTATCAAAGCCCCTGTTCTAGTGTTTATCCGACTACACTTAAAAGCGAGGTATGCTATTGCCCATCTCGCTTGTAAGTCACTGGATTTCACGTTGTAGATAGTTTTTAAACCATTTTCCAGATTGAGTGTTTTATATAATACCAATTAATTGTAACTCCTGTATAAATATAGTTAGTATAACATGAAATATGTTAATCCTTAGATACCTTATAATTAAAAGTATACATATTTAACGTAAGTGATGTTTAATAATAAATGCTATGTATCATGAAGTAAAATTTTCCGATAATAGCATTTGTACACCCCAATTAGATTTTTACCTTAATCCTTTTAGGAGTACGGTACGGATGTAATTTCACTGAAATCGGTTTAATTTTATGAAAAAAAATATATTATTACAAACTACAAAATATTATTTTGCTTTCCGGAATATTAAAAATAATGTTAATCATCCCATTAAACTATGTGAAACATATTTTTTTGGTTAATAACATCTCATTAGAAAACTTTTATATGTTTCAACCATATTCATTTTACAATCACTACATAGAATCAACACCAATCTAATCAATAAGCAAATTTAAGTAATACATTGTAAGTAAATACATAAAGATATTTTTAATTTGTGTTTTGTTTTATTGTTCCTTTGATCTTAATATTCATCTTAAACATATGCCCTACTATATCCCAAGGTAGGAAAACTTGAACCAAACCCTATACCAATCCGTCTGGCCAGCGTGGTATAGTAGGCCAACACTTCCTTACTTAGAAGAGGATAGGCTGGACATAGGTCCAGTAGTGGACTGTTGTGGGCTGAAAAGCAAGATATCTGAAACTACTTCAGGCCACCCACTGGTTTTCAACTGCAATGGCCATAATAGCCATTTTTGCATTACCGAAAAGATTTTACACCCGCACAGCTAGATCGGAATGTGAATTGGAATTCCGTGTGGAATTAAGAACACAGTCACTACCCCTATTCATCCCGTGGATGTCGTGACAGCCGACTAAAGGAGCAAACTACGCCTAGCAACAGCACTGCAAAGAAAAGGAAAACTTGAAACATACCCTGTACCAACCCTTCTGCCGCGCGTGGTATAGTAGACCAAAAGATCCTTTCTAAGGAAAACCCTATGTCACTACTAACGGCTGTTGATGACGTTGATGTGTTGGAATTGAACTAAAGTTTAAGGAGGCCAATAAGTAGTTGACCTGTTCAGGTATACCTGCACAGGAACACTTCCTTAGTAAACCCTACCGTTTTACTTTCTTACTCCTTTAGTATTCGAAAAATATCTAACAGATTTAACTTACTAAACTTATCGGTATTTCCGGACCGGACCTTCAAACCTTCAAGAAAAGAGCGTACTCCTTCCTAAAAGCCCGGCAACGCGTTTGTGACTCCTGAGTTGCAGATGCTCATGGGCGGCGATGGTCACTTTCAATCAGGTGACCCGTGTGCTCGTCTGCCCCCTCTAACATAAAAAAAGAAACTGTTTGGAGCAAACACTTACTTCTTCTACTTTGTTGTCTTGATATCTTGCCACTGATTGGGTACCTTAGTAAGTTTTTAAATGTATTGTCTGTGCGTGTGGCCATTTTACTTTTTCATAGTGCGAAGTTCTGATTTTGAAAGTCTTCTACATGTACGTTTATACTTAGTAGGACAGGCATTTAACTTGCCAATCTTTGTTGAACTGAATTTTCTTTGTGTATATTCACAATACATACTGTAATTTATGAAAAGAAAGATTTCCATTATTACAGTTCTTTGTTACGTCAAATCTTCGTAGTAATTGACAGTGAAAGAATAGCTGCTTATTGACTCGTACTTGAGCGTCGATGTCAACGAAAAAAAAAGAATTTATCTCGAATTTTTTAACATTTATTACCTCTCAAGTATGAAAAAATAATCTAATCATCAATTTGAAGGCATTTGATATGAACTCATTGCTAAACAAGAGCAAATGATTTGATGAAACTCGAAATATTCATTGAAATATGACATCTGTAATAAACGGAATTTCTTAAATGAAAGATAAATTGACTAAGATTTAGTATTCAATTTTCTAAGGAAAATTGTGATTTTCTATTGAAACATTGGCAAAAATTATCAAAATCATAACCATTTTTGAAAAGTATATAATTGAAATCCGTCTGACAACTACAGAAAAAAACTGTATCTACGAGGCATTGGAACCTGAAGTAAACCCGCGACAATACTCACGTCGAGCTGAACTGCTATAAGCTTTTAAATAAAAATCCTTTTGGTAGAAACTAGCTTTCAGTTCGTCGGGTCTTTAGTGTGGAACCGACAGGATTAACATGCAACGGTGAGTACTAACCCTAAGTAATTTTTACTTTGACCGGACTATACTGTAACTCTTTACTCTCAGGAGACTGAACTTTACTGGACATACGATTATTTTATTGAGAACATAAAAAAAGGAAGAAGTATTTATCTATACAAATAAATAAAATTGGAGTGTCTGTTTGTAATATTAAAATAACCGATTTTTACTAAATGCATGTATGTTTACACGGTACATATGCCAAAATATCATTTTTTTCAAATTTTGTCTCTATCTGTCTGTCTGTCGGTTTGTTCCGGCTAATCTCTGGAACGGCTGGACCGATTTCGACGGGACTTTCACTGGCAGATAACTGATGACATAAGGAGTAACTTACTTTTTTTAGGCGTTGCCCGTTTATAACAACAAACGCGGGTAACACCGCGGGTCTCAGCTAGTTAAAAATATATTTACTCACGAGGACAATATTGCAAATATTCTCTTAATTTTTTTAACACTACTCTTTAATTATTTCCTTCGTGTGTCTAAATTATACAGAAACTTTTTCTTCAGAAACATTACTAAATATTCACAATACAATGAATGATTACCTACGTTTAAAAAGCTGTTAAGTATGTATCTACTTTAAGGTGTTAAAACTAACGCGATGTAAAAATCTTTTTATATTTACCTTAATATAAATAAAAATGGCTTTCATGATTGTGGTTTTCGGTATCAAATTCAATGCTAATTTTCAATTTTCACAACTTCCTTGTATCCGTCGAGGCATTCTCGGTCAAATTACTAGGGATTTAAGGACACCAAAATAATTTGGAAAGTTATGAGCATAAAATGGAAAATTGAAAATGGTATAAATTGTTACTCGTAATATTATAGTTTTATTTATTATACTTCCTTTTATTTAATAGCAGAAACTTTTAAATTTTCAAACATTTGCAGAAGAGAGCTAACGCAAAAATTACCTTCCAAATGTGTTCTTCCAATCTAATATCAAGGTAAAAGTACTTCATTTGCGTAATAGTAGAATCTCTTATTGATAAATCAAGAAACCTGGGAATATGCCTCTTGTTGCTTTAATTTTTAGGAGTAATATCAGATAGCAAGCCGAATTGCAGCGCGCACTGGAGGTAAAAATAAATCAACAATATGTTTCTGGCAGTTTCGCATTATAAAAACCGGTCAAGTACGAGTCGAACTCGTGCGCCGAGGGTTCCCTACCTACCCAGATTTTACGTAGATTTTCGCGAAAATTTGTAAGTACCAAAATGTATCT